GCGGGTCTCGAACCCACAGGTTCAGGCAATCCACTCACCTCAGCCTCCCAAAGGTGCGGGATTACAGGCTGAGCCACCGAGCCCGGCATTTCCTTTCTCTTTATCTTTTTAAGAGATGGAGCTTCACCTTGTTGCTGAACTTGACTTCCTGGGCTCAAGTGACCTTCCCACCTCGGCTTCCTGAGTAACTGGGACTACAGGCATGCACCACTACTCCCACCTTATTCATTTTTGTATCACCAGTGCTTGACACATTGTTGGTAATCAATGTATTTTTAAAAAATAAGCCTGTGAATGTATAAATTAATAAATGGATGAATGAATAAAGACATGAGCCACCTAGCACAGGTGCCTGGGACACAAGAGGTATTCAGTACATGTTTCTTTTCCTTCCCTGGCTCTGGGGGGTAGAGGCCACATATGCAGCCTCTGTGCCTGGCACTTGGTAGGCCTCGGTGAGTGTGTATAGGTGGAATGACAGACTCTTGGGGGATCTGAGCCTTTGAGGCTGAGGAAGGGTTTGTTTTTTCAGCTTCACACTCCAGGGAGTGATGTGCTACCTCAGCCAGGGCTTCCCCCCACCGCAGGATAAGGGCCACTGCTGTTCCAAGCTGAATCTGGCTTAGTAGTTACCCAGACTTGGTGTCAGGCCCAGCTACATGCACCAGAGGAGGGGCATGGCAAGTCCTTCCAGCTGCAGGACAGCTGGCAGTGGGTATACAGCCACGAGTGCATGAAGGGGATATTCGGCACAGCCAGACTCAACTTCATTCTGTTCCTCTCTTTGTTTTCTCAGTGCTTCAAATCTCAGTGCCCTGTATCTGGTGAGTGAGTAAAAAATGAGAGTCTAGAAGACTGCCTGACATATATCAATAAATACTGGTGGGATGAGTAAATGAATCAATGAAAACAGGACTGAAGGAAAAGACAGGCTGACAGATGCGTGTCTATTTATTGGCACAGGGTCCTATAGAGCCGAGACCACACCCTCCCCACCCTCTTCCCTGTAAAAATAAACTCTATCTTTTCCTCTCCCTGTTCTATCTGCTTTTCTGCTTGGTCCAGGGAGAATCAGTCACCCTCTAAGACTTCTGCCATAAGACATGGGAACCAGCACCCCCTACACATACACTTCCCCTCTCAGCCCAGGGAAACAGGGAATAGCAGGAGGCTTTCAGAGGGCCTCAGGCTTCCACTAGGAACTGTGAGTGAGGGTTGGCAGCAGTGAGTGGGAATAGCAGCACAAAGGAACACAGGGTGGCGAGCAGCCCCTAAGGGTGGGGCTGAGGGGAGCTGAGTCTACTCCCAAGGGAGGACTGAGTGAGCCTCAGGGGGAAGCCTGGGAGGTACACCACCCAGGCCTGCGTGGTCAGAGTGGGGCAGGCACAGCAGGCCCTGTGGCCACCAAGCTGAGTGAGCTTGGGGCCAGAAGAGGCAGACTCCTTCCTGTGGGAACTGGCGCCCCTGCCCAGACATCTTCCAGGCAGGGTGACACAGAAGGATGTCACAGTGAATGGTGGGCCTCTGCTGGAGGCAGGGGCACCCCCAAAGCAGAGGCACAATGCGGTGGTTGAGGAGGGACTGGTATTCATGTCACCTGTGGTGTGGAGGGGCTGGATCCAGCCCAGCTTGCATTTGCCTTCTCCCAACCTGAGAGCAAACCACCTTGCCAAGAGAGGGTCCTGGTGACAGCTGGCCATTTCACCCCAGACCCAGGTCTACCACACCTCACACAGCTGCCCTGGGTTCATGGGGGAGCCAACAGGGCAGCCGAAGTGCAGCAGGAAGTCTCGGGAGTTGGAGAGAGTGCCCAGCACACGGAAGCGGGCAGGGCTGTGGGGGTCGGTCACCAGTCCCTCGTGAGAGCTCTCTGGTGTGCGGACCGAGCACCACACCTGCGGGCCAGGACAGACATGGGGACATATGGTGTCTAGTGTGGAGCTGGGCCATAGACTTGGCTACAGCAGAGCCATCCCAGGTGCACAAACCCCCGCTGCTCCAGCCCCTCCGCTCAGGAGGCCTTCGGGATACCGCAGAGGGCTCCGCCAGCATCTTGGCTCCAACCCCTTTGCTCACAGCATCAAGGGCAGTGAACACACTCTCGCTCCCACATTCCTTCCAAAGCTGCCCTGGACACTGGACTGCCCAGCACGGACATGGCCGAGAGAAGCAAGCAGAGCTCCCAGAGGCTGCCTGCTGTGCAAAGTGCCTAGAAGAGACTGCCCAAGTCCTCATTCCACCACATGCTTTATTCCTGGGAAGCCCTGGACAAGCCACTCTATGTACCCAAGCTTCAGTGTCCTCCCTCATACCTCCCCTCACAGGAACATCGTTAACTATCAATGCCGGCTCCCATGCTTTGCCCCTCAAGCTGGCCAGCCCTGCCCCTTGAGATCTGCAGGGTCCTACCAAGGCGTCTTCCCTCCTCAGGCCTCCTTACGCTGCTCATGTGGGCCCCAGCTGAAAGGCTCTGGGCACAGCCCTTCCCAGCCCACCGTCCACACCCCAGTTCAGCCCATTCTCAGCCCCTTTCCTGCATGCCCCAGACTTCTAATGACATACTCAGGAGGGAGCAGGAAGGAGGGGCAGACCTCAGGCCTTCCGGGAGAGCAGTACCTGGGCAAATCCCACAAAGAAGAGCTGGTGGTTGGTGAGCCCCACGGCTGGCAGCTGCTGCTCCTCCCCATGCTTCCTCAGCCACGCTTTGTAAGCCTGGGGACAGGAAAGCGGATGGCACGTTCATCTGAGTCTGTTCACCTCCACCCAGAGCTCCTCCACCCCAAGCTGGTAGGTCTTGGCCACTGGAGGGCTGACCTGGCCACTCACATTGTAGGCAGCCTTAAGCCCCCCGTTGTCGGCGATGTTTTCCCCCAGCGTCTGGCGGCCATTGAGCCTCTCCCCGTTGACCTGGTATTGGTTGTACTGCTCCTCCATGCAGGCTGTATGGTTCCGGAAGGCCGCCAGGGACTCATTCTGCCACCAGGGCCGCAGGTTCCCCTCCTTGTCATACTCCCGCCCTGAGGAGAACTCACCGTTGCACCCAGCAAGGCCAGAGGTCATGGCTTAGGAGTACCTTGCCCAGCCTGGGCCCACAGAAGACTTCAGGGTCCCTGGGCCTGCCCCCACATCCCAAGGCCTTGCAGGAGCTACTAAGCATTCTAGGCTGGAGGAGACAACCCCATGGGCCCCTACCTTGGTCATCAAAGGCATGTGTCAACTCATGGCCCATGACCACACCGATGCCACCAAAGTTCAGGGCCCTGGCAGGTGAGGAATGCTGCATGAGGATGTGGTGGGAGTCCTGAATCCCACCTCAGCCCTGCTCCCAGCTCACCCACAGGCCCAGGCCCCGGCACCCAGGCCTTCTGCCTCAGACACACTTGGGGTGGTGGCGGGCATAGAAGGGGGCCTGCAGGATGCCGGCAGGGAAGACGATTTCATTCTTAGTCGGAAGGTAGTAGGCGTTCACCGTCTGGGGGGTCATGCTCCACCTGGGGGGTAAAGAGGAGGGGCTGGGGCTCCTGACTCTCCTGACGCTACGTCCCACCCCACAGCGCTGTCCCTTCTCCTGCAAGGCCTTGTGCCTCTGGTCTGGAGCCGGTCTTGCCACTCCTTTCCCCCGTCCCAGGAAACCTCCCCCAGCCTCGCATGCTGCCCCAAGTGTCTGTGCCTTCTCCCCCATTCTCACTGGTCTCGGCTGGGAGGCTTGCGGAGCTGGTCAGCCATCACCTTAGCAGAGAAGTTGTACAAATTCAACATGTTTTGGAAGAAAGACTCTTCAGAGACTTCATACTATGGAAACGATGGAAAGTAGAAAGCAAGCAAGAGCATACATTGGAGAAGATAATAGCCCCAGCTTAGTTGCTAATTAGTACCTCTCCAAGCCTCAGTTTCCTCAACTGTAAAATGGAAGTAAAACATCTGGTAGGCTGGACTCGGTGGCTCAGTCTGTAATCCCAGCACTTGGGGAGGCCGAGGTGAGTGGATTGCCTGAGCCTGCGGGTTCAAGACCAGCCCCGGCAACTTGGCGAGACCTCGTCTCTACAATAAATAAAAATAAAAATTAACTGGGCGTGGTAGCGTGTGCCTGTAGCTCTGGCTACTTGGAAGGTTGAGGTGGAAGGATCACCGGAGCTCAGCAGGTCAACGCTGGGGTGGCCATGAGCATGCCACTGCACTCCAGCCTGGGCGATGGGGCGAGACTCTGACTCAAAAATAAAAAATCTGATAAATAATAACTGACAACATTTAAAGAGCGCTTATGTCACAGATGCTGAATTTTTCTACATTCTGTCTTCTTTATTCTCACAACAACCCTGCGAGGTAGGCTGCAGTGACCATGCGCATGCCACTGCATTCCAGACTGGGCAACAGAGCGAGATTCCAACTCAAAAAAAAAAAAAAAAAAAGAAAGAAAGAAACTGAGGCACAGAGTGGTCTTCTCCAAGATTATAGTTAGTTAGGGCTAGAAACAGGATCTGACTCAGGCTTGACTCCAAATCCCTGCTCGGTAACACTATATTTCCCTGAGGTGTGGCCTGCAGCCTGGTAGAGTCAACTCCAGCCATGGTGGTTGCCTGTATCTGCCTCTGAAAGGAACCAACAGACACTTCCTTCCCTCCCAGTTCTTGAGCCCCAGTTACTGAGCCCAAGGAGCAGTGCCCCCCACAGGTTGAAGTTCAGTACTGGTGAGCACAAGTACTCACCCCATCATACACATCATCTAGCTCTTTGGGCTCCAGGATGAAGTCAGGGAAACCAATCATATCATAGATGGCATCTGCCTGAAGAGACCAGGTGAAGTAAGGATTTTCCTCCTCAGGCTCCCAGCAAAATTGTATCCTCCATCCTCACCTGCAGATGGCGCCCCAACCCTAGCCAAGGCTCACTTTCTCCTTTGCTGCCTGGCGGGTCTTCTCATCCATCCAAACCAGCTGTCCCAGGGCCTCCTCAAAAGCAGTCCGGATTTCGCTGATCATCCCCTCTGCCTGGGAGGGAGAGGTGAAAGTCAGCCTCCCTCTGCACAGAATGCACCCCTGCTCCTCCATCCCACCCTGGTGCCCCATCCCTGTTCCTCCAGGAGAGACTTGGGAATGCCTGGACTCAGGAAATAGGGCTGAGCATCTGGGGAGGATGAGAAGGAAACACCATTTGAAGGTACTGGGATTGGGGGTGTTTTTTCTTTGTTCTTTTTCTTTTTTTTTTGAGTTAGAGTCTCACTGTCACCCAGACTGGAGTGCAGTGGCCGCTCCCGGCCACCGCAGCCTCGAC